TTGGAGAAGTGCAACTCCAACAAAATTCAAAAGAACTCAAAATCATTTATGGCAAAGCAGCCTGTCACATTGGCACACCATTCACCATTTTAAACATCCATTCCCATAACCATGGGTTCACAGTTAAAGCAAGTGTCTACAATCTGTAAAATGCACTGCAGCAACTCTCCAAGGCTCCTTCAATAGTATCTTCAAAACATATTACCTATACCACCTAGGTGGATAAGAGTAACAAGTATGGGGTAAGTTCTCCTTCAACTTATCACTATCCTGACTTAGAAAAATATCATTATTCCTTCATCATCACTGAGTCAACATCACCTAATTCCATTTCTTACAGCACTAAGTAACTCCATCACCCAGACTGAAATGGTTCAAAAAGACATCACATCAGCATCTACTCAAAGGCAGTTAGGGATGGATAATAAATGTTGGCCTAGTAGAAAAACCCACATCCGACAGACGAATAGAAAATCATATAATTCCAGTCAATACATTGTAAGCTTCTGCATGTCCTTGGTATTTGCATTCTACTGTATGGGTCATTTTGTTATTTCTTGAATTGTATGTGATACGAACCACAATATATATGGACTGCAAGTGTGAAGGAGGTCTCAAGTCTGAGCACAAGTTGGGAGCTAAATTATATCCTGACTTCATAAAGTGGTTATAGAATCTGATTGACATCCCAGACTCATTGTGTTAAAAGGGAGGTTTCTAGAAAAATTTGGTGAATGCTACCCTCTGCCTCCTTCAATTTCCATGCTTCTTCTGTGCCTCACCCATTTGCTATAGTGTCCTCCTACACTGGACAAGTGCCCACTCCAAAACAACCAGTAGCCCTTCATATGCAAGTGGTGCTTGATAATGAAGCCGTCTTCCTCCACACATGTAATGAGTCAGATACATTAGCCAATAAATTATACCAAAGCCTTGACCTCACATTTCCATAATTTAGGCCCATTTTGGAATCTTTCTGTGATAATCCTGTTCCAGTTGTGTGCTTTTTACTCAATTTGTATATAGTATATTTGTTTCATTTTAAGTAAAACTGCTATTTTTACTGCATTGCCTATTTGGATAAATGATCCAAATCCCCTTTGATGACAATCTCCCTGTTATCAACAAATATAATCATTTTCTAATATTTGACAGAATGTGGAAAAGATTGTAGGTGGTATGAGAATAAGGTCTTCAAACTCAGTGCATATGGCCCAACTCAGGGGAGGTAAGCTTTAACAAGATGATGGTCAGTCTGCTAACTTTAATGGGATGTGGGTAGCACTGGCAGGGCCAGCGGTTGTTGAGAAGATAGTGGAAAGCAGCCTTCTTGAACTGTTGCAGTACCACCCACAGTACTCACTGAGATCTACTCTATGGTGCACATTACCCCCTACCACCAATCCCTCTTCCTCAAATCTGCATTTTCTGAATCCTTTCCCTGAATTTGTAATTGCTGGAAATATAGTATCAAAATGGAAAATATTGAAAATTGGCAGCAAGTTAATGGAACGTTAATGAAGGTTTTAGGACAAAAATCTTTATCAAAACTGGTAAATAAGCTACACAGCTCTTCTTTATAGCTCCAGGACACCGTCAGAAAGGGTGGAAAGAGGAAGTGTTGTCATGTTGACGTTTGATTGCTCGATCTTATGCGATAAACGGTCCCGACCAAATCGTTAACCTGTCAGTTGATCATCCACCAACTCTGCCCAACCAACGTGTTAAATTTACTCGGCAGACCTAACTGAAGCTTTAGAAACATGATAATGCCGTGTTTGTCCTTGTCTGCTTATTTGCCGGATGGCAGATAGTTGTTACACAGCTCCTCATTAGCGCTACCTCCCAAATAAATTGTTCTGATTATTTCATTAATTTATCCAGCTCAGAGACTCAGCACAGAACCCAAGTAGCATAAAGGTCAGCATTGAACTGGGTTATAAGTGAATCAAGCCCAATTGACACCTCCTTCAGCACTAACAGGATATTTTGCGTTGGTTGCTATTTTAAAAAAGCATGTGATAGCCGGGTGGGCAGATTGTTTATGTGGTTCAAGGACTGAAGCTCCGTAGAATTGATCGCCCATCCATCTGTCTGGTGGATCTGACCGCAGTAAGAGCGGTGCAAACTGCTTTAATCTGTGATTTCTCCTGTCGGTTTGCATGCTTCAGATTGGACGGCACCGCACCGGGGCCCATATTTGCAATAAAAGGGTCCTGGACATTACTGCGACATTCCACTGAGCCCCTCCAGACCTTCCTGTGAGACTGACCTGACCGGAGGTGGGGGAGAAAGGAGAGTCACCAGCAGTATCACTGTAGAAATAAAGACTGAAGGGCTTTTGTGGGGCAGTGGTAGGGCGGCACGGTGGTTCAGTGGGGACAGGGGCACGGGCTCGATTCACACGCTTTGGCGACTGTGTGGAGTTTGTGCGTTCTCCCCGTGTTTGCGGGAGTTTCCTCCGCGTGCTCCGGAAGATTGGCCATGGTAAATTGTCCCGAAGTGTCCGGGAATGTGCAGGCTAGGTGGATTAGCCATGGGAAATGAAGGGTTACAGGGATTGGGTGGGATGCCCTTCTGAGGGTTGGTGTAGACTCCACACTGCAGGGATTCTATGATTACAGTATCCATATCTCTCAGCCAGGAGGCCTGAGTTCCAGTCCCGCCTGCTCCAGAGGTGTGTCATAACAGGTTGTCTGAACGGGTTGCTTAAAAAAAATCTAGAAATAAAGTTTGCAAACATAAATGCAGTTGGCTTGAATTTTCCAACATGGTTTCACCAAGGGCAAATCTTGCTTAACAAATTTATTGGGGTTCTTTGAGGATATAGCCGGCAAGATGGATAATGGGAATCCAGTGGATGTGGAATATCTAGACTTCCAGAAGGCATATGACAAAGTACTGCAGAAAAGACTGATCCAGAACGTTAGATCCCAGGGGGGTGGGGTTAGGGGTAGAGTATTGGCTTGGTTAGAGCTTTCACTGACTGACTGAAAACAGAGTGTTGGGATAAATTGGTCCTTCTCTGGATGGCCAACTGTAACTAGTGGCGTGCCACAGGGTTCAGTTCTCAGACTATTTACTATATATATAAATGATCTGCAAGCAATGTTACTGTAACATAGCAAAATTCGTGAATAATATTAAAATAGGTGAGAAAGCAGGCTGTGATGAGGAGATAAAGAGTTTACAGAGGGATATTGATAGGCTAGGAGAATGGGCCAGAATCTGGCAGATGGAGTTTAATGTGGATAAGTCCAAGGTTATACATTTTGGCCAGAAAAATAAAAGGGGAAATTATTATTTAAATGGGAGGCAGATTCAAAGAGTGCGGAGGATCACAGAAAGTGAATATGCAGGTGCAGCATATAATAAGAAAGGCAAATGGAATCCTGGCATGTATTGCAAAAGAATTGGATTATAAAAGCAAAGAAGCTCCGTTACAATTAATGTGAGGAGTTGGTGAGACCTCACCTAGAGTATTGTGTCCCGTTTTGGTCTCTTTACTTGAGGAAGGATGTGGTTAGACTGGGCAAATTCAGAGGAGGTTCACCAGGATGACTCCTGGGATGAAAGGGCTGTCAGACAGACTCGAAGGGCCGAATGGCCTCCTTCTGCTCCTATCTTCTATGTAAGATTAACCATGACCGTGTTAAATAGCGGAGCAGGTTTTTGTGTACTCCTGCTCCTAATTCCCATTTTCCTATGAATGTGTTCAATCCTGTTTTTTTAACCGGTGCGTTGATCTTCAGGAATCTATTTAAATTGTTCCTTTCTGTTTGTTTTTAAATGAGGGTATTTATCAGGACTTCCCGCGTCTCCCTATAAATTGAGTAAAAGCTTCACACCATCCCCCACCCCCATCCCCATCCCCATCCCCATGTGGGTTGTCCACCCCTGGTCTCTCTCTCCTCCCTCCCAGCTGGCATGAAGCTGCCTGAAATAAATTGATAAGGAATCGTTCGCCTCCTTCAAATCGGTAAAGACAGAAAAGAGAGAGGATTCTCAAGAGGTGAACTCAGGAGACCTGTACCTTTAAGAGTGCATGGGAGCCCTGTGCTTCGCCTTTAAGCTGATTGGGGAAAGCGGAGCCTGAGGCTGTGCAGGAGGAAGTTGCGCAGACTTGAGGCAGTTCTGACATAAAAGCACAGATAGTGATTGAAAGTGATGTTAAAAAGGATTTAGCCTCCGCATTAAGTTGGACCAGAGCATTAACCCAAAGTCCTGGCCATCTGCCCTTGAAGGTGCGGGGAGGGAGGTCAGAAACAGGGAAAGCCTTCGAGGCAAAACACACACAGGCTGCAGCAAGCGTTAGTTTCAAAATCCGGATCGCATCTTGGCTGCAGGTTTGTTCTCTCTCCTATTCATTCTCTCAGTGTCTCTGTGACCCCCAAGCCGTCATCCTTCCCGCAGTAAATGTGTGTGTGTCTGTCTGTCTGTATGGGGGGCGGGGGGCTGTTTTGTGGGTGGGATGTAGTGTTGCTGGGTAAACCTCTGGGAGATGGCAGGAACGGGAGGTGGGGGGGTGGGTGTGAGAGCGGCTGGAGTCACTTTGCCAGCGGGTGATCTTTGCCTATTGTATGTTCTCAGGTCATTTCACATTACTCCCTTTTGTCTCCCTTTCTATTAGCTCTTGGTCATGAAAAAGCCCCCAGTGTGGAGAGGACGGGACAGCAGGAAGAGCTTGGATACCTCGCCGCTGAGCCACGGTTGGATTTGGGAGGATTTCGAGCGGTCGGTTTGAAGTTGAGGCGAGCGGCCAGAGGGAGTGAGTGAGAGACAGAGAGAGAGAGAGAGAAAGAGTCGGACAGAGGGAGGGAACTGAGTGTCCGTGGCCGGACAGGAGCCATGGAGTTGCTGGGATGGTCCGTTGCCCAGCTCAGGTGCCAGCTGTGCCCATGCTGAGTGCGGCGCCGTGCCCGCTGCGCCCTCGCCAGCCGCCCGACCCGGGGCTGTGTGTGTGTGTGCGCTCCGCCCGGGGCACCATGCGCTCCGGCCCAATGCTGCAACTGGCCGCCCTTGTCTACTCGCTGCTGCCGGCCCGGAGCCAGTACAACAGCTGCAAGTCGCTGGTGAACACCGATGAGGCCGGCCCTTCCTGGGAGTTTTACGCCTGTCAACCCCGAGCCATGGCCATGAAGCGGTACCTGAGGGTGAAGGTGGAGCCGCCAGGGGTGACCTGCGGAAACCCTCCGGAGCGGTTCTGTGCACTGGTAAGGAGAGCCACGGGGAGGCGCTGCCACTCGCTCCGCCAACAAAACCCAAGCCCTCACCTCACTAATCCGACCCGGGGTGGGGGAACTTCCATCCGGATATCTCTCTCAGTAACTGTGGAGGTTTCAGTTCGACCCGGTCAGGATCAGGAACGCAGGGAAGTTCACTCAGCAAGGCGTGTGTAGGGACAGAGAGATCAGACACTGAACCGTTACATGTGTCGGGGGGCGGGGAGAGAGAAGCTGGGGAAGGTGGGGTATAGAGACAGAGAGAGAGACGAGGAGAGAGACGGACAAAAGAGAGGGAGCTAGAGACGAGAGAGAAAGGGGGACATAGAGACGGGGGGAGAGAGAAAAGGAGACGGGGGGTGGGGGGGGGGCGAGAGACAGAGGGCGAGCCTTGTTGACTGCTCTGCCGGTTCTTTCACCAGGTGGGGAGAACGGGAGTCAATAAATGTGGAGCTGGAAAAGCAGAGCAGGACAGACAACATCCGAGGAGCAGGGAGGTCAACGTTTCGGACAGTGTCCTGGAGAAGGGTCCCGACCCGAAACGATGCTGTCTGACCTGCGATAATAAGGTGTAGAGCTGGATAAACACAGCAGGCCAAGCAGCATCAGAGGAGCCGGTAGCCTGATGTTTCGGGTCTAGACCTGCTGTGCTTTTCCAGTTCCACATTTCTTTTTGACTCTCGCTTCCAGCATCTGCAGTCCGTACTATCTCCAGGGAGAACGGGAGGCCAGTTTGTAAGAGAGCAACCCGGGATATTTCGGTGTTGTGCCGTCTCCGACCCGCCGCCGCGCATGGAGCGTCCACTACAATCTATAATTTTTATATTTTTTCCGTCGGCGCATGTTCTGTTCGGATTCCAGCAACTTAAAAGTTGTTTTAAAAAATTACACTTAGAAAAGGCAACTCCAGAGAAAATGTGAATGTTGTGCCCAAGGTTGTCTCCCTCCGCTGTAGCTGGGGATTAGTACAGACAGCATTCTGTCTGGTCTGCCCCGCACACAACCCCCCCCCCAACATCCACACACAGACACAGACACAGTGGGCCATGGGACTAGAAAGCCCCTGAGATGAGAACAAGCTCCGCTGAGCCGACCTGGACAGAACATTACTAGTATTATCTTTGCTCAAGCTTCCTACACTCCGGACAGCTGTGGGTTTTACTAAACTGGGACACACTTAGTTGCCCAGCCGAAATGAATGAATGAATGAATAAATGCACTTTGCAACATTAATAATTCAGTTACGAGCGAGTGCCGCTGGTTTGGGTTAATACACTCTGGACTAATAGACAGGCAGTTGTTCAGAATGGATTTGGAGAGACTAATGCATTTCGCTGGCGCTGTAGTTACACCATATACACTGTGTCCCGGATTAACGACAGAGCAGATTGTTAAAATCTCCGAATGTTATTTTTGATTTAATATACTCAGATTTACATAATGACCGTCGCGCACTGTAATGCCAGGCGATGGGAGGGAAATGGAAACATTTGGATTAAAAGCCGTGTGTTCGGATCCAGGGGCAGGTCAGTCAGTACTGCCGCTGAACTTTGCCTATTCGCCGCTTTAACAGTCTCAAAGAGACGGTAGAGGTGGGAGCGGTGAACATGAACTAAACCTTCTGATAAAATTCCTCAAAAATGGAATTCCTGACATCCCTCTCGGACTCGCCCTTTATGATCGAGGTCCTGTTTTTAACCGACGGGGTAACGGCATGCATTTTGATTCCATTTCAATTCAAAGCCCACTCTCCCCCGCTCCTTGTCTGGTTTAAACCATGCTTCGATTGGATGTAACTGGAGGGAAAATCTCACACTGACATTGAATTTGAGACGGTGTAAGCTGGGTAAAGTGTGACCAGCGTCCAGGTGCCATTTATCGGTCTCACTCAGCTACCCAAATCTCCGAAGAACTGTCACCAAATGTACAACTTTTCGTTGTTTGCAGTAAGAGCCCTGTTGAAGCACAGGCCTCTGGAGAACCAGGGACCGCACCCACTGGGTGCAAAATAACGGAACTGAAAACTCGAAAGATTTTTTTTGACTCCTCAAGCGAACATCGATCCTGCAAACAGGATTGGTGTCAGATTAATCCTGAATTTGGAGGATGGGTATAATGTGGCCGACACAGGGTCAAGGTTAAACCAATTTTAATGCATTCTGTCTCCCATCCTGCTGGTCTCGTCAAGTTGAATCCTGCATTCATTAAGCCCCTAAGCGCGCTGATTGTAAGGAGCCTTCTGTTAAAATTCTAATTCGCCGTGATGTTTCGGAAGCTCAAGGAAGTAGTATCGGGATCGAAAAAACTCGGCTTTTAGACAGCCTGATACAGAGGGAGCTGCAGCTTTAAACCATTTGATGTGGTCAGTAGGAGGTGGGAAGGGGACTGACTCTTAATGTTAGCCTGTCTCAGGAGGCATCTGGAGGATACAGATTTGAAAGCTTGTTTTATTTGTTCATGGCTAGCCGCTTGGCCATGGACAGATAACCTGAGGAAGCATGGATTAACTCGCACAGACAGGATGAAATATAAACTCCTGTAAATCGGGGAAATAAACTCCAGCCCCTCCAAAAGAAAAAAAGGAGTGGATCTGTACATAGTCCCAAATTGTAGTTTAATTTTACAGCTGTCGCCGGGGTTAAGTTCTTGTTTCTTTTCCCCCCGCACAACCGAGCTCCCACTTAATCGGTGCAAATTACAGGAACTAACGTGTAAGGTGCTGGTTACATTTCAATAATTTGGGAGCCGGGACGCAATGTTCCCGATGGGTGGGGAATCAGAAACCGTTCCCCAGCCCCAGCTACGTGTTCACGGTCAATGCTCAAGGGAAGGGAAGACATGACCACAGTCTGTGTGTGTGTTTCTGTGTGAATTTGTTCTTTGTTTTGTCTCTGATGGAGTTATTTTCCGAGGGACGAGTGGAAGCTCTCGCACAGCGCCCTGACAACTGTCCTTGACCCAGACTGGCTCAGGGCCTCTCTAATTTCTTCCTCTTGCCTCACCCGCATCCTCATGGCCCAGGCGCCCGGAGTTGAACATCTCTCGAACTGTTTCCCGTGTGAACTACGAAGTGATGCGAGGTTTTACAGCCAGGCCGAACCGATCTTCTCAAATTCTAAATTTCTAAAACGTCTTTTAGCATCTTTACAAGAATCAGGGTCAGCGGTTGTAGGTCTCCTGGGAATCTTTGTTCAGTGATTTTGTCTGTTGAGTTATTTGTCAACTATTCGATGTCGTAAAGTGTTTGGGAATGACCTGAGTGGTGAAAGGCACTATCCTAATGCAGGTCATTACTTACAGACCAATGCTATAAATAAACATGACATGATTCCATAATCCCACACTGTTCGGGGAAAAGAAAGATTCATTTTTATCAAACAAAGAACTACTGCTGCTGGAAATCTGAAACAAAAACAGAAACTCAGCAGGTCTGACAGAACGTTAACTCTGTTTCTCTCTCCACAGATGCAGCTAGACCTGCTGAGTTTTTCTAGCAATTTCTGTTTTGTTTCAGATTTCCAGCAGCAGTAGTTCTTTGTTTGATAAAAATGAATCTTTTTTTTCCCCACAGTGTAGGGTTCAGAGGCGATCGCGTGGATTGGACTGTCTGCCTGGAAACTCAGCAGGTCTGACAGAACGTTGACTCTGTTTCTCTCTCCACAGATGCTGCCAGACCTGCTGAGTTTCTCCAGCACTTTCAGTTTTCCTTGCATTTTTATGAACTCTCAAAAATTTCGGTTGGGTACAAGGCTACCGTGTAGAATTCACAAGACTTGGAGCACAACAATGAAACCCCAAAGCTCCAGCCAACAGTTGGCACAAGGGAGTTGGCAGCAGAGCTGGCGGTGCTCACCGTTCTGCTACAAATCCTGCTGCCGCAGGGTAAGGGTGCCCTTTCTGCTGTGCCCACAGTACCCGGTGGCACCGACTGAGGTAGCGGGAAACAAAATCCCGCAGCCATCTCCCTATACTGCCGAAGAAATGCACGTTGTGCCAGTCCGACCTGACCTAGTCCATGGGCAGGAGCATTTACACGGAGTGAACGCCCTGTTACAGTCCAGCCGAGCCCAGCAAACAGGGATCTAGCACCGAGCTGGGCTAATCCCTTTCTGTGCCTCATACTATCCCATTGGAGGAGGTCACCAGTTAGGGCAGAATCGCCGCAAGCTGCTCGCTCACGATTCAGTACGCTCAGGGCATCGGAAAATCCCGCCTATAGTGAGAGTTAGAGTGTGTGGGATTGTTCATTTTGGAGAGAATTGATCAGGGTGTCATAACTCAATGAAATAGACAAGGTCAGAGCAGTTGGTTCGCACAGAGACGGTCAGGTAGAATCCTTTCAAAAGCGAATCCGCCACTTTCTGTTTTTAGAGAGTTTGCTGCGGTTATCGGTAATAATCAGCGGGGCTCGGTAGAAGGAGTTTCGGGGACCTGTCACCTCGGCGTTAGGGGTGGGGCGGGGGCGCTGTTTGCCTCCTCATGTCCTTTCGTTGCTGCCGGTTCCAGTCTCGCCCCGTTTACCGACTTATCCGGCAGATTGCTCTATAGTCGGTGAACGTCTGAATATTCCGGCCATTTAGCGCCTCTGACAAACAAATGAAATGGCCCCATTGTACTCTGTGACTGAAAGGCTGTACTGCAGGGAGCTGTGTGTGAATGATAGAGGGAGTTACAGAGTAGGTAAAGGTGAGTTACAAAGTGAGTGAGTGAAGGTGAGTTACAATGTGGGTGAGGGTAAGCTACAGTGTGAGTGAAGGATAGGTGAGGGTGTGTGAGGGTGAGTGACAGTGAGTTTCAGAGTGAGTAAAAGTTTCAATGAGGGTGTGAGAATTATTTTCTAATTCCATACAGAGGTCAGTTTCAATTTTTTTTCTGTTTATACAAAGTAATACATGGAGACTCGCTGTTGTTCAGAGGGGGAGACATGGTGATCCTCGCCTCACACGCTGGGGGCTCCCGGAATCGGTCGGGCTGTGGCTGACGACAGATGG